TGTTGCATAACTTTAAGATTCGATAGAACTTTTAAAATTAATGCATAAAGTCTATATAAATATGGGTCGAAAAATGCGTCGCTTCCGAAATACAGGGTGTTTAAATTTACCTTCTAAAATAGTTTTTTTTAAATATTTCGAACAATATTTGATGTATAACAGTGAAAATTGGTATACAAGGGTTTTTTGGTACGACAAAACGAACCATGGGCATACTGTAGCCGCTAGAGGGCGCTCTCTACTGTACCTGTAGTGTATTAAAATGACCGAAAAATTTTTCTTAGTGCAATTTTTTGCTTTTTGAATAAAAAAACTGATTTTTCGCACTTTTCAACATAAAAAAGCTCTCTTGTGAATTTTCATTATATTTAGCCGTTTTTGAGATATTTCGATTTTTAAGGTTCGATGCATTTTTAATTATTTATGATAAAATAACGTTAAAAAGTCAGTATCTCGATAATTTTTAGAAGTAGGCTGTGCCTGCAAATATTTTTGAAATTGGAAGCAGAATAAGGTTAAACGTCAATTAGTTGACAGTTAGTTTTGTTGTCTGTTGAAACCTGAAACGTTTTTTGCAATTGTGAATGCACGAAATTTAGTTTCTTTTACCTGTTTCTTTTTTGTAAGCTTTATAAAAATGCCATTTTCATTCTCCAACCAAGAGTTAGCGGATATTCATTTTGTGTATGGCTTTGTAAATGGAAACGCAGCAGAAGCAGCCAGAGAATACGCACGAAGATTTCCAAACAGACGACATCCAACTCGCTCAGTATTTGTAAGAGTGCATCGCCAAATAATTGAAAATGGTTTTGGAAATCTCCAAAGGGATCAAAACATAAATGTTCGAATTTGGATCCTACCTTTTGCCTGCAAGGTTAAATGCTGCGACCTTCTTGGAATTTTTAGAGGCTGAACATGCAAATATGTGGGATGATGTTATGTTAGATTTAAGAAGATTGGCCTGGTTTCAGCTTGATGGTTGTCCAGCTCATTATTCGAGAATAGTTAGAAACTGGCTGGACGAAAATTATCCAGAAAGATGGATCGGCCGTGGAGGACCAGTCGCCTGGCCTCCACGATCCCCTGACCTAAATCCATTAGATTTCTTTGTGTGGGGATTTCTAAAAGAAAAAGTGTACCAGACTCCCGTAACCACAAGAGATATGCTAATAGACAGAATCAGGAATGCGTGTGATGAAATAAGGCCTTATTTGAATAATGCTATACCACGTTCGATCATTCGTAGATGTGAATTGTGTATTGAACAATTGGGTGTACATTTCGAGCAACTACTTTAGATTTTGTATGTTTGTCCTAACTATCCAACAGCATTTTATTTGTAAATAATTAATTTAATTTGTTAAAAATAATATTGGAAAATTAAACAAATTAATATTCTGTTTTTTGTGTTTATTTGGAGTTAGGAATTATTGCTGTGTTTAAAAACACAATCTAAACGATTATCTTAATTACTTGTAATGCCCAAATCGAAAATGTAAAAAAATATTATTTTCCCATAAATAATTAAGAATGCATCGAACCTTAAAAATCGAAATATCTCAAAAACGGCTAACTATAACGAAAACTCAAAGGAGAGCTTTTTTATGCAGAAAAGTGCGAATAATCATTTTTTTCATTCAAAAAGCAAAAAATTGCACCAAAAAAAGTTTTTGGTCATTTTAATACACCACAGGTACAGTAGAGAGCGCCCTCTAGCGGCTACAGTAAAATTATGCCCCTGGTTCGTTTTGTCGTACCAAAAAACCCTTGTATACCAATTTTCACTGTTATAGATCAAATATTGTTGGAAATATTTAAAAAAAACTATTTTAAAAAGTAAATTTAAACACCCAGTATTTCGGAAGCCACGCATTATTCGACGCATGTTTATATAGACTTTATGCATTAATTTTAATAGTTCTATCGAATCTTAAAGTTATGCAATAATAAACTGAAACACCCTGTATATAGATTAACTTCAAACCCGTTACAAAATGAAATTTTCTTGTACATCTGCTGCTTTTTTCAGAATATCTAGCTGAGATTAAATTTGGAAAATAAAATTGAATTAATTCTATAAAAGTTCTGTTCTCGTCCTCAACATCAGTAACTATTGTATCATCGGATTGAGTAGTGTAGTTTTCAATCAGGGATCAGGATGAAACTAGCAATAAAAGCTCTACTCCTCAACTACTATGTGTGTCAGTAATTAATCTAATGCTATCGGATCAATACTGATACTCCCACTGCTTATGGCGGTAGAAATCAAACAGACATATTTTCATGGAAACAGATATGATTTGTATGCTTTGCGTAATTTTATCGTTAGATGATTCCGCGTAAAGTTCTGCTACTTAGATTTGTAAAGGGACTTTATTACAAACCATGTTAAGTAACTTTTGAGGCATAATATTTCACATTAATTTATACCATTTTGTGCTCAATTAGACAGGTCTTAGAATACATAGGACTTGTTAATCCGACTCGTCGGAACATTGTCTCCCTTTAGACCTACGAGGGTTGTCCCAGAAGTACCCGGCCTGACCTAGAGATGGCGATAGTTCTTTGAAAAATATCATTGTATTAGAAAGTATGCAACCTATAAAGCATATGTGTCAAGTTTGAAGACGCCACGTTGTTTAGTATTTGTTTGGCAGCCATCAATACTGAACGTTTTCAGTGAATTTGTGAAAATGGAGAAAATTGGTACAATACTTTTATTTCAAAGGCCTCAGCTCAACCAATATAAAAGCTGAACTAGATTCTACTCTGGGTGTGTCTGCTCCTTCGTTTACAACAGTAAAATATTGGGTAGCAGAATTTAAACGAGACCGTATGAGCTGCCAAGACAAGCATCGCAGTGGTCGACCAAATGAGGTAACGACTCCAGAAATGGTGAAGAAAATTCACAAAGCGGTACTGAATCATCGTCGACTGAGAGTACGCGAGCTAGCAGACATAGTAGGCATTTCAAAAAGTGTGGTTCATCGCATATTATCTGAAAATCTGGACATGAGAAAGCTGTGTGCAAGATGGGTGCCGCGATTGCTCGCAATCGAGCAAAAACGGTATCGTAAAGATGTTTCAAATTGAGTGTTTAGCGAAGTTTCATCGCAGACTTTTTGCTTCATTTCATAACCATGGATGAAACATGGGTCCATCACTTCACACCCAAGACAAAAGAACAATCAAAATAATGGACTCAAAAGAGACAACTGGCTCCAAAGAAGGCGAAGACCGTTTGATCTGCAGGCAAGGTTATGGCGTCGGTTTTTTTGGTTGCGCGTGGGACAATTTTCATTGACTATCTAGAAGAAGATAAAACTATCAACGGCGAGTATTATGCGAACTTATTGCAACGTTTGAGCGATGAAATCAAGCAAAAACGGCCGCATCTGGTTAAGAAGGAAGTGTTGTTACATCAAGACAATGCACCAGCTCACATTGCAATGGCCAAAATTAACGAATTAAAGTTTGAATTGCTACCTCATGCACCCCATTCAGCAGATTTAGCCACATCGGATTATATTCTGTTTCCAAACTTGAAAAAATGGCTCAGTGGTCAAAGATTTTCCAACGGTGAAGAAGTGATGTCGGCAGTTAATGGCGATTTTGAGGAGCAAGACAGTTCTTATTGTAAAAAGTGTATCGAACTTATTGAACATCGCTGGGAAAAGTGTATAGAGCTCAAAGGAGATTATGTTGAAAAATAAATACATTTTTTTTCAAAAATTTTGTGTTTTCTTCGTTGGGTCGGGTACTTCTGGGACCACGATATTCTTCTCCATATGTCAAGAACTGGCTGATATATGAGATCCTGCTTTGAATCTTATGTGTCGAGAATTTAACACAATTAGCCAAGGGACATATCTTTTTTTATACCGACGTAGCCGCGCAGACAGAAGCCTAAATTCTAGGAGGTTCTATGTTCTATGAGGTTCCCAAGGAAATTTTGTTAATTAGATTTTTTAACTGCCTAAGTACATAGAACTGGGAAAACCCTCCCTTTGTAAATTGCCCCACAATCTCGATACCCTCGGGACAAAGGAGCGGTCGTATAGGCCAGGTCTGGATGTACGAAGTTCGACACGGAGGCCAAAGTCAGGCACATCGCGCGGCGGCATCAAAGAAGAGAGCTCTGAAGAGCAAAGCCCGTTGGTGTAGCAGTAGAAGAGAGCCAGATCGCCGACGATCCGCCACTACGAAGGGAACCCGAGACTGTCTGTTAGAAAAGAGTCATCGATCAGTCGGACAGCGCTCCTCTGGGCAGCATCGACCATAAATAATGTAATCAGGGCGGCAGCACCCCAATCGTATCAGCAATACTCGAGGCTAGGTCTTACCTGGACCTTGTGAGGAGGTCCTGCGGAGAAAAATACTCCTTAGCCCTAAGCAAATAGCCTAGCTTTTTCCCATAGGGACGAGATGTGTTCGTGCTAGTCGCTGCTAGTCTTCTTCCTACATGTAGATTCTTGTCATCAGGAAGGCCGTGGATTGGGTTGATCGTGTAGGTAAGGAAGAGGAAAACCCGTCAATTACGACGGATATCTTGCGGCCAGAGAGAAAATCAGCCACCTATCTGCAAAGCTTCTCTGGGACGCCATAGGATGGAACTTTGCAAAAGAGGGCAGCGGGCCACAGCTGATCGAACGCTTTCGTGATATCAAGAGTAATGACACGAGCACCACCATAAGACTGGACGCTGCCTGTATTCAGCTCAAACATTGCAAGAAAGAACTTCAATTTGTTCGTAGAACAGTCACTGTATTATTTTGCTGCATTTAGGCGCTCTCCTTCCAAGTATAAAAAATTAAACGATAAATCGTTCTACGGTTACAGTTGCCTCACAAAATACCGACCTGTTTTACACATACAGATGGAGATATCCCATTTCAATAGAATCAAACCTGTACACTTCACGCTTGGAAGGAAAAGCCAATATAGCGCCAGTTTAACAACCCATCATGAAATCAGTGCAAATATGGCAAAATAAAGATCTAAACAAATGATAGGTACTTAAATGCTGACGAATTCTGGATCAATTTCATAAAGCCTTTTACAACATTCAATAGTAACCGGGGTCTAAAAAATAATCCAGTTCTAGTGCGTACGGTAAGTCAACCTCAACCATCTTCCAGGAATTGACCTAATGCATAAGTTTTTTTTAGAGATGGCAAATATCCAGATATCATTGATAATCTTGATTATATTACACTCAGTTGCTGGTCTGAAATCGCCATACTGGGAGTGCCAATATGAGGTAAGGTACTCATTAGTTTTGTGTAGACCAGAGTTCCCCAAACTTTTTTGTGCCGTAGACCCCTTGGCGTCAATTTTGTAAGGGTTAATCTTAAATCTCCTCGGCTAATGATGTCCAGTCTGTTTCTTTTTTTATTTAGGAGATTGGTAACAGCGCTGAACCCCCTTTCCACTAGGTATGACGATGGAGGGAAAATTAAAAATTTCCTCGCTATATTCTATAATACGGTATAAGTAACGGGTATGTTGTTTTGCAGCCAGAATTGCTGATATCCGTTTTTAAACTGAACCTTAAGTTCTTCGTTTGTACTTAGTTCAGTCAGTTCCTCTTGCATTATGACATTCGTTTGTTCTATGTCACCATATGGATTAATTATCCACGGTGGTATTACCATAGTCAAAATATCCTCAAACCTAGATTCAAAATCTGAATAGAGGGCATTTAAATGTTGAACGTAGGTTGAAACGTCGTCTTCCTGGCAGCTTGTCTGTGACAAATTGGGGAACTGAGAAAATTCGCCCCGACCAATATTTTGCTTCATTAGTTTAACTCTGGCAAGAAATGCTGATAAGATGGACTTTGTTTTAATCAAATTTAAGCTGTCACCTTGTAATTGCAAATTAACCATATTAAATTTTGTAAACAAATCTGTTTTCCTCTTCATTAAATTTTCTTTTCAAATTTTATCTTTAGTATCCAGAAATTCTAAAATAGTCTCAAAAAGTGCAAAAAATCTTGTCAAACATAAGCCTTTCGACAGCCAGCGTACTTCAGTGTGAAGGAGTAATTGATGAAAGTGTTCGTCATTCGCTTCACACAACTGCGCAAATAACCTCGTATTCAACGCGTTGCTTCGGATTCGGTTTACTGCATCAATGACTAAATGAAGTGATTCATGCAGTCTAATACTCAAATTTTTAGCAACTAAATGTTGTCGATGGATGACGCACTGTATTGCTAACACCCCTGACACATTTTGTTTTAAATAGCTTATAAATCCACGATAACGTCCAACCATGGCAGGTGCTCCAATCTGTAGCTACTGATATTATATTTGATAAAGGAATTGCTTTTTCAATGAAGTAATCCTTCAAAACATGAAATATTGATTCACCTTTAGTGTCGGTTATCCAAGTTCTTGCGAAGAGCAGTTCTTCGTAGATTTCTTGATTCATAATAAAACGAACATATGCCAATAATAATGCTGCATTATCAGGTAAAGTTGACTCGTCCAGTTGTATAGAGAAATGGGTCGTTTGCAAATAATTACATAAGAAGCTTTCAATATCATTTCATCAATACGTCTTTCAGCAATACGTCTTTCAACAGTATTGTTGCTTAAGGGAATTCTTTTAATGATATCAGATGCAGGTTTGTATAAAACAGTTTTTAAAACCTCTTCAATGGCTGGCAAAATTAACTTCTCTCCGATAGTATGCGGTTTTCCGGATTTTGCTATAAGTAACGAGATATTGTAAGACGCCCGCAAACCATCATCATTTCTTGTGACGTCGAAGCGAACATTCTGTCCAGTGTAGGTCTCTTCTGAAATTTATCTTTGAGTGTTTGAAGGTATTTCAAATCTTTCTCTGTTTTATCATGGTGGCATCTTCTCAGATGATCTTGCAGTTTAGATGGTTTCATAGCGTCATTGCCCAAAACTTTGTTGCATAGAAGGCACATAGGCGATTGTTTGTCCGGCAATGATGGAATGAAGCCAAATTTCAAATAATCAACACTGTACTTTCTACATTTCTTTTTAGATTCGGACATGGCATCAGTCATCTGTGGGCAAAATTAAATTATTTAAATAAAACAGAAAATCCAGCAGCTGTATATTAAAAATATTTTTTGATTTTTCCGAAAACATTCCATAATTCGAACATCTTCTTGCAACAATTAGCTCGAATTACGGAGATTGCACTGTAATTATATTACCGATTGCTAAAACTTTCAAAAAGAAACTATTGAGGAGTACTCGTGTAATTTTGCATGATTGAATATTTAACTACTAATAACTAAAGTCATGATTGGCGTAATTTATCTAACTGCGAGTACCAAACTAAAATTTAATAAAAAATAATGTACTTGCTTTTCTCCAGCACTCTCAAACAAAATAACACTGACTCACTATAATTTGTGTAATATACTTTCTGTTTATATTTTTTAAAATATTTTCTTAGTACTTTCCTTTTCAAGATTCAGGAAACGAATAAACGTATTTGTCCCACATTCGTATTTATAGAGTGACGAATTGAACAAGTCAGTGCAAGGTAGCGAAGCTCTGAGACTGCGACTCTCAGGTTTTTACAAGTTCAAAATGTATTGCGACCACAAAGCGAATACCAACATCCTACAACTTACACAATTTTATAAATATATATAATAAATTTTTCACTTCATAGGTACTTATATAAATAATGTATATGTTTTGATATTATAAGATAGTATGATGTAAGTAAATAGGTACTATCAGTGTATGTGGACCCCCATATTCATTTCATGGACCCCCAAATTTTTTGCTGGTTGTCATAGACCCCTAGGGGTCGATATAGACCACTTTGGGAATCAATGGTGTAGACCATACTTCGACCATAATATAACATTTTGAAGTATCATTGTTGCCACCTATTTTTACTTCCTATGCCATAACTGGCGAGGAAGTATTGCGGTCGCGAAAAATTTCGAAATTGCGTTAAGGCACCTGTACCAAATAAGTCCACGTTGACGTTTGGATAGCTCTAAATAGGTACTTGCGAAACGATCATGAAATTTTAAAGTTATTATTATGGGTATGTTCAGAGAGTAAGCTGTATCAGAGAGCTCCGAGAACTTTCCTTTTCATATAAAAAATATATATTTTTGAAACAGTACCATTGGATTTATTAGGAACCCAGGTATCCAAATAAGGCCATGATCTAGATTTAATAAAGCCTCGCTCAAAATATAAAACAAGACTCTTGAATAAACAAGATTATATTACTAATTAACAACAATAATTAGTTCTTAAATTCAGATAGATTTCAAGTGAAAAAATCAACTTGTTTTTGCCTCCGTATTGATGACAAACAAAAATGATACCTTATCGCCTATACACAAGCCTGCACATTCCTCATAGACATATCTTAAGCATATTACCTACAGCGCATGCCACGTATTTCATCATTCTCGCATATAAAATAGTACCAGTTTTCGTCTTTATTCTCCTGGGAACCATTTAACATGGCCTTCTTACGCACATCTAACCTTCAATATGCAATTTACAAAATTGAAAGTCTTCAAAACCTGGCAACAGCAAATAACTACCTGCATATGCCTTATAGACTTACCTGACTGAATTAACAAGAGATTCCGTAAAAAGAAGCCGACAACATGCAAAAACGGCGACAAATTTAAAGCAGAAATTTTATAAGAAAACCGACGCTGTCCTACTGCGCCATCTAGCGCCGCTCCACAGCTGCTGAATTTATGGTTGCTAACTGCTCTCAATAAATTTGTAGAATTGCAGAAATCTTTAATTTTAGATGTTAATAGATTCTGTAAAGTAAAAAGGTAAAAATCGCTTAAACTTCGTTTGTTGCCGGACATTTCGAACGATTATTAAAATAAAAAGTGATATTCCCGTGTGTTTTTGTTTTCTGTCTGAACAAATAAAGGTTTTTATGATTTTCTTGAAAAGGAATCTACCGATTTAAAAAAATCAAACGTCAAAATCTTCGAAAGATCTTCCAAACAAAGTGTTACTCGACATCCCTTGTCGTTTAAAATTTTTAAGGGGATGACCCTGGTGTGCAGAGCGTGAAAAGGGGTGAAGTAGATTTTGGTTAAAAAGTTGTCCCCCTTGACAAATCTTTTGACGTGTCTATTTGAACATTAGCAGTACGTACGACTTTAACTTTCTGCGATGCTTTTGTAAATGATTTAACAGTTTTTTATATCTATACATAATATACTTTTCCGAATTTCATGATCCTTAAATGTACCACTAATTTCGCATAAACTTCAGTTTATGCTACTCCGTCTATAATGGTTCTCTGAATATTTCGTCAAGTAGATTGACTCACGGTTTATGACGGATTGATATACAACAGACATGGACTGACAAACCGATATCAATGACAAACACGGACTTGTGTGATGTAAAAACACTTAAGCAGCAGACAACTTGTTAACCGGAGCTCAAATATTAACGCGAGTTTAACACTTCCATCGTTTAGGTGGTCGTAAATTTTAGAAATTGATTCAGAGGACGCGGAAATAAATTCACTGGAACATAGTGCTACAACGTTTTAGGGGATGTAAACTGTAGATTGGAAACTGTATGCGGTAAATGGTTGGAAACTGTTGCATATTTGGTGTCAGTGAGAGAGTTTCTATTATTAAGAAGCTGCTGGTCTCAATGATACTATGCACCTGTTAGACATACGAGTAATAAGTGACATAATTATATTTTCCCTACATCTGCTATGGAAGCATAAATATAATAGATTTGCTTTATATAGTTTGATGTGGATAGGTCGTTTTGAAATGATTTGACCCATATCCTTTTTTTAAACCCCCAACGAAGGAGTAGGAAATACACAAATACAGGAAAGATCCACAGTTTTTTGAAAAAATTTTATGGTCGGATGAGACCACATTTAAGAAAGATGGGTACATGAACCTGCATAACTTACACGAGTGGCACGTAGCAAACCCACATTTGATGAGAGAAGATAAATCTCAATATCGCTTCAAGATAAACCATTGGACAGGAATTTTAAATGGTAAAATAATCGGTCCGTTTGAGTTCCCAGAGACTTTGACTGCTGAAGTTTATTTGGATTTTTTGAAAAATCATGTACAAAATTTATTGGTGGACGTGCCACTGAGTATTTACAGGGACATGTGGTTTCAGCATGATGGCTGCTTAGCGCACTATGCACTCTCAGTGAGAGAGTATCTCGATCAAAACTTTCCAGGCAGATGGATAAGGCGGTCTGGTACAATACCGTGGCCAGCCCGATCACCTGATTTGAATCCTTTAGACTTTTTTACTGGGGAACTAACTGTAAAAGAAAAAGTGTATTTCAAGCCGATTCAAAATATAGCTGAGCTACGGCAAAGACTATTGGAAGCAGCTGAGTTTGTTAATAACCGTGGATTCGCTCGTTTAATAACCCGATCTTTTTTAAGAAGATGTCGAGCGTGTATTGCGGCTGAAGGAAAACAGTTTGAGGATTTGCTGTAAAGGTAAATCATCATCAGCAGCATTTTGACGCCCACTGTTGTGCAAACAGTTATTTATCCTTAAGGGTCCTTGTGCGTTTTCATAATCGCTGTTTAATTAGGAAATTTTGAAAAATTTTCATCATTTTTCTTTCAAATAAAAATTGTGCATAAGTTAACGAGTAATCTTCTAAGTGTTATACCATTTTGGAATCGTTATTAAATGCGCCAACTTTTAAGGTTACTTGCCAAATTCTCGTAGTACATTTTTTTTCCAGTACAGCCAGTTAAAGTTGAGCAAAGTTTTACTTTGGCATACTTGTTTGGGAAATAAGTGGCAATTTTTCCTGAACAAGAAAAGTTGGCAGTAAGGTTGAGACAGCAGTTTGAAGATGCATTATTCATCATTACATTGTAAAAATAAAATACAAAAAAAGTTAATATTTGTAGTAACAGGAGTTGACAGACTGCCGTAGGGTGTGAAATTTCTATATCTTTTTCAAAGACCTATAATTTTCAAAACACATACATAAAAATTTTTTAAATATTTTTCTGATAGCTGTTATGACTTTGCATATCACCCGGTTTCGGCTTGACGTCGACTTCTGGGACACCCTGTATAAATACTGTTTGTGCATACACTTCGAGGCTGGGCGACAAAGGAACAGGGAACAAAAACCCTACTATCCGAGGTTTATTAAAAGTCATCCACAATACTTTGTACATTTCTCATGCATAATCACTGTAGACGTTTATTCAGAATTCTTACTATGTATTTACTTCTTCAACTTGTCATTCGATGTATGGAATCATAGTTCTTCGAATTTAGGTTTATACTTTATATATGAGAATTGAATGGTAATTACTGAGTAAATCTACTTGACATTCTGGGGTGCTGTATATTTTCTAGAAGGTGTCCATGTTTTCCTCTCTAAACGAAAATTCGGCCACATTTGGACAGTTGGACGAAAAATCCTAGATCATTCTGGTTTACAGCAAATGAACCCCCAACTTTTTCAAAATTGTCTACTTCATTCTAAAAAATTTTACATTCGAACAATTATTGTACTTGATTTTGAGCTCTGACAATTTGCTGGAAAATTATCTGCTGACTGATTTGACAGTCACCAAACAGTCGGAAGTTTCTGTACGAACAGCGGATCGATTGTCGGTAATCGGTCTGACCTCCCTCAGCCAACTCGTAACGTTCTTATGTACGCAATTAATACAGTCAGCGACGTGTCAGTGACTGCTAACTGCGCAAACTAGGTCATGACTTGTCGCCGACTATCAGTCTGCTGATTGTCAGCAAACAGGCTTTACGAACAAACCAACTATCATTTTTCATTTCTAAAAGCTTCTTTTACCTGCTGCAGCGGTTTCCCTTAACCCCACTGATGTCCATCTGGCACGATAATCTACGTAGATTTGCGATATTCTAGAATGTATAGGGTTGTCCAATAGGGACGCAGGAAAGTAAACGTCAAATTGACATAGACGCCATCTTTGTTTTCTGTCACCGTCATGTCATTTTGTTAGTTGAATGTTTACCATTGATCGCTATGGAGTCGTATTCGATTGAAGGCCGCATTAAAGTTATTCACGAGCACTACAAAAATGGTGCAAAAATAAAAAACACGTTTCGCGCGCTTCGTGAACATTTCGGTCGCAACAACCGCCCAAACGAAACAACCATCGGTCGTCTGGTGCGTAAATTCGAGGCAACAGGTTCTGTGGCAAATCTGCCAGGCTCTGGCCCGCCAAGGAGCGTTCGCACACCGGAAAATATTGTTGTTGTGGAGGAGAGTGTGAGAGACGATCCGAAACAATCAACAACGCGTCGATCCCAAGAATTGGGCATTTCGAGAACCAGTTTGCTCCGCATTCTCCACAAGGATTTGAATGTACACGCCTACAAGATCCAACTGACGCAAGAGCTGCGTCGGGCCGACCATTTTTCGCGCCGAACGTTCTCAGATTGGCTCCTTGAACACCGCCAAATTGATGCCAATTTTTCATCAAAAATCATGTTCAGCGACGAAGCGCATTTCACTTTGAATGGGACGGTAAACAAGCAAAACTGCCGCATCTGGGCGAACGAAAATCCCCGTGAGTATCAAGAGCAGCCGATGAATCCTCAAAAAGTGACTGTGTGGTGTGCATTGTGGTCAAAAGGCATCATCGGACCTTACTTTTTCGAAAATGCGGCCGGGGACGCCGTTACCGTCAATTCTGAGCGATATCACGTGATAGAGGACTATTTTTTGCCGTAACTTGAAGGAATGGATATGGACGATGTTTATTTCCAACATTACGGTGCAACATGCCACACAACCAACGTCAATATCCATCGATTGCAGTCCTTCTTCCGTGATCGCGTGATTTCGCGCAGAGGAAATGTGCCATGGCCACCAAGATCGTGCGATTTGACTCCCTTGGACTTCTTTTTATGGGGATAATTGAAAAGCAAAGTCTACGTCAACAAACCAGCCACCCTCCAAGAACTCAAAAACAACATCATTGATATAAATGCCATAGAACCGACCATGTTGCAAAATGTCATTGAAAATTTCGACCATCGCGTGGACGTCTATAAATCCAGTCGTGGTGAACATTTGAGCGATATTATTTTTCATACATAAATGGTATAAATGAACCTTCAAAATAAAGTACCCAACTTGATTTGAATATCAATCTTTCTTGTTTTAATATGCGTTTACTTTCCTGCGTCTGTTTTGGACAACCCCATATTAGAAACTTTCTCAAACTTCGATCATACCTACAATTTTTCGTTCCAGCAATTTCAAAATACCGAACCATGTCAAACGTTTGCCAAACTGAAGTTACCTTCAAGTGACAGTCAACAGTATTTTTTCCAAGACGTCCAAAGAAGGAACTCGGAAATAAGCAGCGCACTGAACGATTTGTATGGAAATAATGGAAGAGGGGGATTTCCTGGTAAGAGAAATCCGGAATTATCCAGTGCTCTGCTGCATTACATCAATTCAAATAAGGGGTATAATAAATTATATAAATGATATGTAATTACTCTTTATTTCTTAGCATATTGTAGAAAGAAACGATTTATTTATAATAAATATCACAATCATAACATTGCATACTTTAAGCTACTAGAAAAATAACAATCACAATAAACATTACTTAAACAATTTATATGTTTTTCTAAAAAATTATGCCTTTAGGCATCCAGTATGAAAAAAATTGAAAATCAAATTTCCAAGAATATGTGCCTTGTACAAAACCTTTCATCTCCATTTTACGAACTTTCTGCAGAAGTACAGAATCGATCTACCTCGATAGGCTGTCCTTTACCCTCTCTCACAAATAATGTCCACGACACTTGGTTCCATAAGCACTGGTTCCAAACATCTGTGGACGGCAGATCCCAAAATCTCGTCCAGTAAGAAATGCACCAAACTGAAAAAATCCATATGTTTTTGAACACGATATACGCAACTGTATAAGAAAAACTAGTAGATGTTGGTAGAATCCTTCAAGCATTGATGTTTAAGACTTACTTTTCATCGGCCACAAATCTCCAAAGGTAAACTTGCAAATAATGTGTATCTACTTGGATCTGTTGCAAACCGTATTTGCTGAAGGTCTTCAGTCTTACACATTCCATAAAGGTCTAAAACAACAAAAATGTAAGAATCAGAGGCGACTGATTAAGTTTCTTACATATTTTTACGCAATCCAGCAATGAATCATCGATTAAAGTTTTAATCCTCGTAAATAGATTCTTATAGCTGTATACGGGGTGATAGGGAAATAATATTCATAACTTTAAGAGGTGATTGCTTGCATTATTCTAAGCAAAAAAGTTCATTATAACCTATATCCGAAAATCAACCGTTTCGGAGCAAAAAAACTTATTTCATGAAAAATATTAATTTTGCACCTTGATAATTTAAATTCATATGCCTAATAGCGTAAAATGTATCAATACAGCTATTTATTAACTTTCCTTAACAAAATAATTTTCTTGCTTATCAAATACAAATTTACGCAGAAAGACAGACAAACAAAATCCCTCTCACAACTGGCAACGTCGTATCCGCCTACACTGCACGTATCATCGCGTGTTGTTGTGATTACATTTAACTGTAACTTTATGTGATTTACGGATGTTGGTTTTTTCTTTTTTCGTGCATGGCATCGTTTCAAATAAGTGATTGATAATTCATTTTCTTTAAGTAAATGTACTGTACTGTAAGCATTATTAAATAAAAAATATTAGCCGCAAAAAATTGCGTAAAAGTATTCAATAATTCAAGGCATATTTTCAACAAAAATATCATGCAAACGTACACAATTCGATGAATCAGTTGCGGTCGTCGTGTGCTCGTATCGCGGTTGCGTTGCAGCGTAGCCAAATGTTTGAGAAAATTTAATTATTTACGACTCACTTTCCTCGACAACGATTGATTTCCGGACATTAGTTTTAATGAACTTTTTTGCTTAGAATAATGCAAGGAATGACCTCTTAAAGTTACGAATATTATTTCCCTAACACCCTGTATACAAGGTGTCCGCAAAGTTGGAGTTTTCCTTTACACGACGTGTAGATCTTAAAAACATAAGCAATTTTTCTTAGTACCATATACACCAATGTCTTAAGGGAACCGAGATAAAGGGCTCTGCAACATCAAAAATATCTGAATACTGTCCTGTAGCCGCGACATCCCCGAGTGGTACTAGGACACTAGCTCAACCCGACGACAGAACTGGGTCGGGGTCAGTGTGTCAGGTCAGTATACAACTTTCAACCGACGGTTACGGTCACGCGAGGTAATCGCGTAGACGAGAATCCCTCAACAAGCAGTAGAGACGTGGCTAGAGAAGTGCAAGTATCAAAAACTAAAGTGTGGCAAACGCTGCGTGAAGAGGGGCTGTATCCGTTTCACGTCCAACGTGTACAAGCCCTTCAACCAGACGATTTTCCAGCAAGAGTGCGGTTTTGTGAGTGGTTGTTGCGTCAACATGACAATAATCCGGACTTTTTGAAGTGCATATTGGTGACAGACGAATCTACGTTCACGCGTAATGGGGTGAATAACTTTCGCAACACTCATGTTTGGTCAGTAGAAAATCCGCACGCTGTCCGTCGGGCACATTTTCAACAAACATTTTCGGTGAATGTTTGAGCCGGCATGGTGAACGGTATGCTCATTGGACCATTTATTCTCCCAAATCGATTGAAGGGGATGCAATACCTAGACTTTTTACGCAAGATTTTGCCTTCCTTGTTTGCCTGCGTCTGCTCGGTAGCGTATCAGCTGATTTCATTTTCTGTTGGAGCGGTATGATTTCGGGCAGAGACGTACTTAGCCCTTCTCGTCAACTGGAGAGTGAGTACTTTTTCCTTTATTTTTTTTTACTTGGTCGCCCTCGTTTCACTACAAATTAGCTTTGTTATTTCAAGGGTAGTTGTTTCTGAAAAGGAAAACCCCAACTTTGCGGACACCCTGTATAGTATAGCATCATACTTGACGTGAAGAAGGAAAATATAGTTCCTTGGTAGATCGAAACACCAAAGGCACAACCTGCATGGGGGAACTGCCGAGCATGGAGCAGAGAATAAGGAGTAGGTAAGAAAGGTAAGTTGAGGTAACAAGAAGTTATCTCGAGACCACATTAAAAGATGGCTGGGGAACTGTTCTCAATGACTAGAAACAAACTCCGTGTAGTTACAGGTCTTCTAACAGGAATAATGTCCTGAAAGAATATCTGCGAAAAATAAGGCTGCACGATAGAGAGTGCAGTCAATGCGGAAAAGAAAGAGAACCAGCCTTACGTCTTAAGTGGAGTTTAGGATAGGAAAATTGTACCAAGTGGTACAGAACACGAGACTGCAGGATCGGGTATTGTAAATTCAAGGAGCAAGCTAAAATAAGCTCAATAGGCTACAGTGCCATCGGAGACTTTGGTCATACGGCTCCCGGAAAATAAAACAAAATTGTAGCAACAAAAACACAAAGACAAATGAATTAAATTGTCATTGTCATTTTGGATTATTATACTTTAAAACAGGGCACCGAGGTGGTCGTAACATTAGCAAGCCCTAAAAATGAAAATAGCACAAAATGTAGCAATATTCAAGAAGACAGTAAGGCTAGTTTAGATCCAAGCGATATGTAATTTGTATTTTCATGTTAATGTATGTTAAAGATAAACACCTAGATACCAAACTCTCACTCTGTGGCTTTATTTGGCCGCCCGCAGGATATCGAGACTGATCAGAATGGGATTTGTTCTATACTGATAACGACTGGATTATGTCTATTTTGGCAAATAGAGTGAATGAAAAGGATAAAAAATACCTTTGTGACGAATAAATATATTTACATTTGATTTATGTCGTAGGATGGCTATTGCATGAGTTTCAAAGTTTCACTGATTTCACAATTTATCACAATTGTTCTCATATCATTTCCCATTTTGTGACGGGAAAATAGATGCGGAGCCGGTGGGGAGAGATAGTACAAGCCAATCTGAGTCGATTTTACTATAGGAACTACTGTCCGAAAATTAGGCGTTTTCGAATTATACTACTTTTTAAAATTTTATAAAATTAACGTCCTTTATACGTTAACCAGGTCATAAAACTTGAAAATTTAGTGTTTCATTTGATTTTTTTTTTTTGTTTTGACAATAAAAATATTCTGTATATTCTGGATATTACCTCATTGCCAATTCTTAATCGATTTGTGATTTCTATACCTCATTTGAAAGGTAATGAAACGTAGATGTTTTCTAATTATTTTGTACGAAAAATTTTTAAGCGACTTTTTCTAGTAAGCTGAAGCTTTTGAGATGAACGAAGATTTTTTTAACAAAAATCGAACTATTTTGAAGCTTACTGCATGAGATAACGTCAATAATGTACATTTGAGTATCAGTTTTCGTATTTTAGAATACTTTGATTCTAAAAGCAAATTTTCAAGTTTTATGACTTGGTTAACGTATAAAGGACGTTAATTTTATAGAATCTTAAAAATTAGTATAATTCGAAAACGGCTAATTTTCGGACAGTAGTTCCTATAGTAAAATCGACTCAGATTGGCTTGTACCATCTCCCCCCACCGCCTCCGCATCTATTTTCCTGTCACTCTGTATATTAGGTATTTTGTATTTTAAATTAAATTCGCATTTCGTACCTTTAAACTTATTTTGATGATTCCAGTCAGGATGGAAACCTTATTGAACTCGACTGTTGAGAAAATCTCAATACGTTCACTGAACAGCTTGTGCATGTTTGAAACCAAGGTGGAGTCCAAATGATTTGGTGTGTAGCTGGACCAATTTGATCTGTATTGATGTCTTGAAACAGATATGCTGAAACAAACAATAATAAACAAGATGAACTGCTGAGAAGATTGGAAAGGGCTAAGGATAATTTTGGCGTTGTTTCTTTATCTTGCGGCGAGCGATGAATGTGATAAATAATGTGCATAAGAAACGCGCTAAGTAGCAACGTTTCCGAGATATAAGTCCGCGAAGTTTAATGAAAAATAAGGTCCATTTTACTTTCTAAAATGTCATACAAAAGCCGCGGGGATCCACCCTTGTTAAAAATGGGTTTATTTAATATATACCTATGAGTTTTTCTACTAGAATCACTGCTATGTTCCGTATTGTTGCCTTGGTCCTCATAAAGAACCGCTACAGTAGCGTCAATAGCAGATATGTCCTCGACCACTCTTTTCATCACAGCTCGTACAGTTCTAGGCTCTATGGTGTGTAACCAATCCCTTGTTTCAACACTTTTTCGTAACATCTGAATGAAAAAAAATATGATTTAATAGACCCTTTCTGTGACATTAATATAAAGTGGAAACGAGGATCCAACATGGATCCATTGTTGATACATGAAAAATTACTCAAAATCATGGGAAAAAAGAATCGGAAATTTGGTGTACAAGCATATGTGCATGACTAGAGAAGTGAGAAATCAACAAGAAAACCCCAGCGTTGCTCGTAGCTGCCATTATGCAAAGCGTGGCGTCAATATCGACCTCCATCCCAGAGCCTCAATGACTGCATTGCTATACTAGATGACACGGTGTCACACTACTCAAGCATTTTTCAAAACATTACTATATTGGATGACGTTAATGTCAACTTATTAGAACCTGACAATCCCTTATCTGCATGTCTAGAGACTCATGGCTTCGCACAATTGGTTTCATCACCAACTAGGGTGGCAGCTAGCAGTAGAAGCCTCTTAGATCCAATATATATAAATCATCCTGGATCATTTACTAATTGCCTTATTTTTGATGCTCATCATATATCTGACCACAAGATGGTCTCGTGCACAATGCAGATTCCGTCTTATCAAATGAAATAGAAGTACATATCGTTACGTGATTTCACTAATTTTGATGAGGCATTGTTTCTACGGGACCTTTATAATCTTCCATTTGATGATATATTCCATCTGCAGTCAACAGACGAAAAAGTAGAATACCTCAATAATTTGATAACTGAACTCTTCAATAAACATTCTCCGTCAAAAATTATACGAGTCAATAAGCCTCACGCTCCATGGCTTACTTATGGGCTTAAGCAAATATTTAAAGAAAGAGATGCTGCTCTGTCTAACCATAAACCCAAAGAAACTCGGGAAAGCTTCTGCTATTATAAGGAGTTGAGGAATTTCGCTCTAGCTTCCTTGCGACGTGAAAAGGCAGCTTATTTCTCACATCTTCAAAGAAGCAGGCAGTCTAAAAAAACCTGGGGTGCATTGAAGAGTATAAATCTTAATTTTTCTTCGAGGCTTTTGATACCCGTTACTCTCAATGATGCAAACTTGATCAATGATTATTTCACAACTGTTTATGATGCGGGTGAGCTAGATGACGATACCTTTAATTTCTGCAAACGTAACAGGTATAATCATAATTTTAAATTTTCGTTTAAAGTCGTTGATCTCTATGCAATTTACAGAACCATCCAGCAGATTAAATCTGGTGCAAGGGGTTCTGATGGAATGAGTCTTGATCTGTTAACTTTGTGTCTCCCTCGAGTTTTATTCCACGTTACACATATTTTGAATTTATGCTTAGAAATTGGTTATTTTCCACAAGCATGGAAACATGCTTTACTAATACCTGTTCCCAAAAATAGTAAGCCGGAAGCTCTCTCTGATTTGACGCCTATAAGCCTTCTGCCATTATTATCGAAAGTTCTGGAGAAATTAGCTCAACAACAAATAATCGAGTATGTTGAATTATGCAGAATATTGCCAGAAAATCAATCGGGCTTCCGCAAATCTTACTCTACTACTACCACTCTGCTTAATATAACACATAATATAATACGAGCTCAATATAAAAATATTGTATCCATTTTGGTCTCGATCGATTACTCTAAGACTAAGACATTCGACAAACTGAGTCATCAGCTGCTTCTTGCTAAATTGGAGTATTTAGGTTTTGATAATATATCTATATCGTTTTTCACGGAATACTTAGCTAATCGGTCCCAATGTGTTGTCATTAATAATACTTTTTCTAATTCTACCAATATCATATCTGGTGTTCCACAAGGATCTGTTTTGGGACCCTTGTTATTTCTAATATATATTGCAGACTTGCCTTCTGTAGTAGCTAACTCTACAATACAGTCATACTCGAGCGATTTTCAAAAACTAACTAAGCTGTCTCATTCTTTGCAAAGAAATAACTTTGTGTAAGAATTTCATCCAAATCCCAGCAGCACTTTCCAAGTTATAGAAGGGCGAAGGATTAGCGAACAGACAGACTGACGGAAATGAATTACATGATTTTTCTAGATGTTCGTGTCATATATGATCCAAAAAAACAATATCTAATTTCCGAATTATTCGCGATTACATTACTTTCTGGGACGTGGGAAATTAGATAAATCAAATGCAGTCATATTTTTTTTACGAAAAAGAGCCTTAACTCACCTGTGAACAATTCAGGCCTTGTATTCTGACATAGTAATTCAGTAGCTCCTGAGCAGATTCCTGCATTGTGTTGTTAATTTCGTTCTCTTTAGTGAGAGCTGCATTGTACTTTGAATCTATGTGGAAAAGCTCATCAGTCAGAGATAACTGTCAAAAAAATAGGTGTCAATTCTCTGTGAAATAAATACATAATAATAAGTTGCGTTCGGTTTGTGAAATGAACTGAGAGAGTCCAAACAGAGATGAGGCTGTCATATCAGTAGGCTAGGCTAAGCTTGATCAGAACATAATTAAAAAAATGTTTTTTTTTTAATTTTCATTGAAAAGACTCATGATCATAATTCGGGTGATTATGCGCATAAAATGCACTCAACCTAAATTCGTCAAATGAGATCAAATCCCGAACAGCTGACGTTCGTCTGTTGGCAATCAAGGGCGGATTTAGAGGGGGCAAGAGGGGTGCCTGCCCCCTAGACTCGCAAATTTGCCATTATTCTCAAGAAAATGTTTCACATATCTTGGTGTAAAAATTAACTACTCTGAAAAAACACATGCAATAAACTGAGCAAACTGAAGTAACGTGAGCGTAAACCCTATTTCACGAGTATCCATCTCATTTTGACGTCTACTGAGGTGAACAGCTGATTAGCTAGTGACATCTTTGTATTAGTCTGTAACGTTGGCAATAATTAATCAACGTTGTAATGATCGATAAACACCATATTACAATTTACCTGTTTTCCAAATTATATATATACAGGGTGACTTTGCAGTTGAGTCATTAATTTTCAGATAATGATTGTAGAAGGAAGATAAACCAAAATACGTGTGTAAAAATAAAAAAAAAATTAAAAAAAAAATTACCTTGTTTTATAAAGTATCCTCCCGACAAGTATTTCAGTGCGGACCTGTATTTGATCGTGAGGTCTTGGAGCACCGGCATGCCGTCGCCTGTGAGGTCTTAAGTCATCTGATTCACGAGCCCGTTGTACTACATTAACAAAGGCACGAGGGGTTGGTTGCACTCGATTGGGAAACCGATCCGCATAAACATGTGCCATTTTTTATTTCGTTTGAGCCACGCAACAGACACCACTATTCACTCACGCGTTACCGACTGACACTGACTGTATACAACGGAATAAAATAATTGTAAAAACATCGTTCCAAATTCTTTCGCTTTTTTGTTTCCGATGCGATGAACCGATAAGGCGGATTATATCCGTTGTTGCCAAACACGAGCACATAATATTATGATTGAGACAGGGCGGTACTCAAACTTGCAAAGGGCTATAACTTTGTTACTTTAATTTTACCAGAAAAATGGTAAAGGAAAAAAACATTTCTTTTGATCAGATCTACTCACTGTTAAAATAAATGACTCAACTTCGAAGTCACCCTGTATATATATATATATATATATATGTATCCAGCCTGTTAATAAACATTTCATGTAACGTTGGCAATAATGATTCGGGTGTAAATTTAGTGAAACTTGCTTACAGCGTCTTTTTCTAAATAAAAGAGTCGTTAGAAAGTACAAAATGAATCTGTAGCGTACAAACAACCAAAGCAAATTACGGCTCTGTCTACCTTGCGTTGACGGATCCGTCAGAATTAAGTGTCATTTGTCGATGTAGGGAATTTTTAAGTATTACCATATAATCAGCTGTTATTTTACGGTAATGATACTCGTGAAAAAGACAATATGTGAGCTTGTGTGTAAAACGAACGCAACTTTAGAGACAAATTTTATCCTACCAAGAAATGGACGCTGCCATTTTTGAAATCCAAACACATCTTTGATAGAAGTAGTAGCAAAGTGGGAGGTACTTTGGGATCTGATGCGCCTTTTGCGCAAAAACTCCTTGCAGTTGCTGTGAAATGATGCATGAAGCACACGATTAGCCCTTCTCTCACGTTGTCTACGCAGAAACTGTCTCTGAATTGAGGTTTTTGGGCAAAATGGACGTCTGGTTGAATAAATACCTAGAAAGTATCATTACATCACCTAGAAGTAAGATCAAACAGGGCAAGATTTCCATCTTTGTTTCCCGTTCTTATATGTGTATGCAAATAAATCTTTGTGAATTTACCCAGGAAACCAATATCCGTCCAGATTACAAATATACAATGGTTTTTGAAAGTTTGAAAAGTGGTAACCTTTTCGACTCCCATGTTACAAACAAAAAAAATTAGGAAATTACAAAAATTGGGAATGGCGATTTTGGATGTGAACATCTAAAAATCGTGAAGAGCTTTGTAACTGATTATGTGGTTAATTTATTCATCACATCACTTACCACCAAATCTTGAAGGACCCCTTTGACTTTCTCAATAATTGTTACTAGCATGGAGCTTAATAATTCACTAAGATTTTTCGAGGAATCTTCTTGACTTATAAGTTTGGGTGTCGTCAAGGTTTGCCTTGCCTTAGTGATCATGTCAGCAAAGTGCATTTTCAGTATTTGTAAATGTGCCTTGCACTGTTTTCTACCTGCATTCACAACTATTTCTGTTGCAGTACTAGGATCAAAATAAAACTCCCTTTAAAAATATATACTATCTCTATGTTATATCATTACTGTTATTTTGTGTCCAAAAAAGAATCTAAAAGTTATTAGGGCCATCTATAAGAGTGTAGCATAACACAAACATGAATTTAGAAATCTGCTTTAAAAGAGTTAATGTTTGGGTCTGTTACTGTTTCACATATGACACAAGGATGTTCAACCTTTCTTCATCCCTAATGCTTATTTTGATTATGTAGGTATCTCAAAGCATTCATTAACATATTCAACTTGAAAATACCCATTAAGATATGTATGAGAGAGCAAAAAGAGGTGGAATATCCAAGCACCATTTATTTGATAGTAGCAAAACTAAACATTCTCTTTTTAAATTAGATTTCTTGATTTGTTTTTGTCTTCTGCTCCTATTCACAAGTATTTTTCAGATCCGTCTTTGGACACCAGAACTCAGTATATGGCTGGCTATTTTCATGGAGAATACATTAATCAAAGGTCTTATATATAGAACCTCAGACTCACTTGGCAAAGTCGATATCTCTGCAAAGTGTATTGGACTCAATCCTTCTATAAAACCTATCCAATGCCTGCACTAAAATGCTTGTATCTCCAACATCTTGTTCAAAATCAACCTTGGTCTGAACCAGTTCAAAATATTTTTTCATGTTCAGTTTTACGAATGAATCCAACTCTACTGCAGCAAAGTTTTCAAATATTTCACTGAAAAAAAAAAAACATCAATAATGTGAAAATATTTCTAATAATAGTATTCTGGTATAAAATCCAGGACATAAAAAAGATTTAGTGTACATTATCCACTTCACACATGGGTTTGTTGTGGACATGAACATTTCAAGCATAGCCTAGGCAGCATCACAACTGACAGATCAAAATTTAGAAATTCTGATTCACTTGTCATGACCTTTGGCCTTTGGATGTTGCTACATAAAAATTATCAAAATAATATACTATAAACACATTTTACCTGTTTTCCAGATTATCTGTATTCATCCTATTAATGAACATATCATGAAATGAAGCCACAATCAAGCACAAATCACTCAGGAACCCAGAACATCCAAGGTCCACAAACTCAATTATATCCCTCTGCTCACTCTGATCCTTAAGCATCACCAGTTGCTCACTTAACCTTTTTTCAGAGCAACTGAGGAACTCCAGGCAGAGCTCTTTAGCAGGTTCACTCAGCTGGAGCAAAAGATCCACAGATTCGGCTAGTTCCTTTGCGGAGGCATTTGGGTTACTGAACTGTGTCCTCAATGCTGCTTTAAGATCAGTTAGGATGGCCTCACAATCCGATTTGATTCCCTGGAAAGCTGGCATGTCACCATATTGCTGGAGAACTCTTTGTGCATGTAGGTAGTCTTGGGTAGCCTAGATAACAAAATACTATAATTGATAGATATTATTTTTAACACGCATACACAGTGAAGAGAAAGATTTATTTGCATGTGTCAAATCTGACATGTTGCAAGTTCCTTATTCCTAGCCACAGAGGCTGAGCAAAGCCTGTCAAACTGAAAACTGGATTTTTTTAATTTTCCCATAGCTGTCAATACCTGTATGTAGTTTTTTTCTTCCATTCTAGCTTTCAATGTTGTGGGCAGCTTGAAAAGAAACTGCAACTTTTGCAATAGACTATGTACACCAGACAACTGGCTAATTTTTTCCCTAGATTCGTGCAAAGTGCTATTAATCTGCTCAGATGAAGATGTAATAGAGGACATATTTGAAGCTAGAAGATCCATTTCAGTTTCCATCTTTTTGAAATCATTTTTCATCTGCAAGTATAATGGATTTTAGTATCGAGTGCTACACAATGCTGCTATATAATGGGATATACCAACCAGAAGGTGATATAATGACTATCTTGTTTTTTTGTAAATACTTGAGGTATATTTAATAAAGCAGTTTTGGGGCCCTAGAAATTAATTTAATCCTCAGTACATATAGATATAAGATAAGCTTGAGAGAAAGCCAATTGAATAGAAAATCTGAAACCCCAATATGCCATAAATAAATCCTTTTCTGCTCTTTAAAGGTGTGTATAAGCAGTGTTCTGTCTTCCTGAATAATTTAGTATAACAGACATAACAGTTTCTTGAAATATAGTTTTCAGTTGTTAGAACTAAAATGCAGATACGGATACACTCAATATTAGAACAATTGCTATATCAAACGCAAACAAAAGATAGAATGAGACAAGTGCTGACCTTTTTAATTGTATCAGTAGCAGAGATGAACTTGTTATAATTTTCATAGACCAGAGTTTGCATATCAGAGTGTAGGGTTTGTGTATCCTTTATAATTTCACTTTCATGATCCATTACTTGTCTCAAAGTGCATTCCTGAAAATGAAATATTCAGATTTACAATAAATGAAAAACAAACTGAAATACTGATAAATCAGCAATTGCTAACTCCAATTTACGTACCTTGAAGAGTTTATCCAAATACATATTTGGACTGAAGCCTGGACCGTTTATGTCCAGGGGATTGGATTTTTTCTCTGCCATTGTAGTTCAAAATAAATTTCAAAAATTATTACACAAGATAAATAAACATAACCTCCCTGCTGTCATGGACTGTCACTGTCAACTAATGGGATATTTATGGGACTACCAACGCATCAACACAAAAATCTCAAGAGTTGAGAGAAAAATAGAAGTAATTCAAACAGTTTAGGATTACAAAATGCATTCCCCGTAATACTTATTTTGTAATTGTATAGGCATTACGTTTTTATCATAAAAGAGGTATTTACTTTTGAAAAAACGATGGAAAATGTAAATTTTTGTTACCATATTTCGGTTGTCAGCACAGATCAGTCTGTGTGTGGGAACAAGTTCGAAGCGCCGTTGCCGGATGTCGACATTTATGGCATTTTTCTCTAAATCACTCGTTTCTTATAATTATTCCACCTGTATGAACTGAAAACAACGCCAAAACGTCGGCTCATAGCATTATTCTTTAAAATAATTACGGGTCACAACTTTAAAACTTGAGGAAATGAATCAAGCCTCTCCTTCGCAAAGGTCCAAGGTCACTCGTTTATAAAGAGATGACAATCTTGATGCTTCATCTTCTTTATGTGCCCTTGAGACGGTTCAAAAAATAGGAAACATCTCTTTACGTTGTACGGCATTGGAATAACGAGTCATGAAAATGTGGTTTCCCGGTAGGTTAATATCAATTTCGCAGTCAACAAAATTATGGCCTATGGCCACATTGATTCACTTGATGCTTCTTATTTCAGAGACCATGAAAGTTTTGATGCATGCGAAGGTCACAAAGAGTGGGGACTTCTTGGTTTATTTAGCGGCACAGTTCCTTTGCTTTGCTCGATGACAACGCTAGTCCACTTATTTCGGTTTCTATGCCTAAAGAATACACATTCTGCCTTACAATCGTCAAACTATTGTAATTGATAACTAGAGGTAATAAGAAGACCTCATGTCCAATTGGTATTCTACAAGGCCTCTGTCGGTGCGTGCAAGTGACAAGGTTAATACGACGTCCTCATTGAAATGCACAAGAATAAACAAAAAGTATACCTCAGAACTACCCACGGGCGGATCCAGCATTTGTATTAGGGGTGGGGGGTCACAAGATTCATGTACAGGAAGATAATTTTCAAAAATATATTTTTAAAGTCATTAAATGTAAAGGTGTAACAAATTAACAATATATTGCGTTTCTGGATAGTCCGCCTCTGACGAACTAAATGAGTTAATAGTTTCTGTTGGATTATACAGTCGTTTAAATTATAGTTACAGAGTAACTCAAAACTGCAAGATTATTAAAAGAGCAAAAAAACGTCAGATCCTTGAATTTCCTATCGAATGACACGCACAGCCTGATGGTCCCTTATTTACGAGATGTTTTAACAACAGCGACGATATGTGAAAATTATTTAAGAAAAACCTACTCCCAACAACACATTCACGGTTGGATAACTTATGCTGCTTACTATTTACATGACCCCCATAATCCCCCCTGGATCCGCGCTTAGGACTAGATGCCGTTTTCACCATGTGCGTTAGTTAATATAAAAATATACAATTATGAGCGTAAAAAAACATAGAAAACCAACACAAAAACTTAGTTTGAACGCGATTCACTAAATTGGCCTCTATTTTTTTAGTATGCGCTAACCTCAAATCCAACAGAAACTGGAGAGAACGTAAAAAGGCAAAACAGTCATGTTGCACACATCAGTATTTTTCATGAGTAGTAGCGACAAATCGTACGTTTCTCGTTTCTATATTCTGCACGTTATTTTGATCTTGTATTGGACAAAATAATCATTCTATAGAGAAATGGATTGAAATGCGTTTCAGTTTTGTTATGAAAATAATCTGCCCACGGAAGACAACTCCAGAAGCTATGTATTTATGAATTACTCGATCAAATGACAAACACCCATTAAAAAGCTTAAAACAGATTCATATATGACCAAGTGAAAATTTTGACAGTGCGATCCTTATTTTCTTGATTTAATTTTATGGCTGCTCCTTATCGAAAAGGTCTGCACCTAATGCATCCAATTCAACTACAAATTCATGTTACCAATAGAAAGTTTTAGAAAATGTCACCTGATCGATGTCTTGTGCTTTACCTATGTTATTGTATCTACTCAATAACCCAAGTACCTTCTCGCATTTTTTGAAACTTGCTGTCATCTGTATCAAATACGACGATAAAGCTAAATACAGGAGTCACTCAAGATTGATGATGGAACTAATAGTTTTTTGATTAGACAAACATTTTGGATGTTGCTGTGCTTTATCAGCATAGTTTATAAGAATTCTGATCGACCATAATCGACAAGATCAACGTCATCTTTGATGTTTTTTTCAAAAATTAACAAGGTGATCATGGCGTTATATACAGTATTTGTGAAACCGTTACCCTTAGATTCAACATACTGCATTTCTTCTGGTGTCAAAAGTCGCGTCACAAAAATAATTCTCGATTTCGAAAATAAAATTACGATACAGATCTTTGACAAAGTTCTCGTGGTGTGGTTGTGATGTGTCTGACAGTAATAGTTTTACAAGAATTGTCGATAAAGTTTTTTTGCATACAAAAAAGCGTCACGTAGGTACCTTCTGTCGAATGATTTAAAGCGAGATGATTCAACCCATATGTTACCCGGGAAAGATTTTCTATAGGGAGCGTTGGGTTTATCACCTCCATGGCTCTTATAAGTGCATAACATCCACGGTGGTAAAAAATCAATGGAATGTAGAATTTACATATTTCTTGAACTAGACCCTTCTACAGCTCTGTCGGCTTGTCTCTTCCTCGCTTATATTTGGACATGACAGCGTTCAACGTCAGTTGTAGGCCTAATATTTATTTTTATTACACTGAAGGGGCCGCGCAGGCAGAAGCCTAAATGTCTCCTATGAGGATCCCAAAGGAAATATGTTGATCCGTTTTTTGAACTTTAGTAGAAGTTTATCTTGCGGCCAGAGGGAAAGTCAACCATCCATCTGCATAGGGATAGGGTTTAAGTTTGAATAAAAGGGCAGCGTGCCGCAGCTGATCTCAAGAGCAAACGGCATGAGTCTCACCATAATCGCTAATCAAGCAGTGACGTTCGAGGTAGTCGTGATTTATGCACCTTTCCAACACCTTACTTACTTGTATATCAGAAAGCAGTGCTATGAGCCTTTAGTTGTAAGATTCGGTATTAGATCCCTTTTTTGGGATGGGTTGGACTCAAGCAAATTCCCAGTTTCATTCGTAAAATATCTGGAAGAGACGCGAAAGAACTGGAGCAAGCGCCGCTGCACACCTCTTCAATACAATGGAAGGAATCAAGTCCGGACTAGAAGCTTTGTTGATGTCGAGAGACTAGAGCACCCGTCTTACGATCTTATGCCTGAATGTTACTTCCTGCATAGTGTAGGGAACCCATTGAATTGACGGCACACGGGCGTTGGGGGGGGGGGGGATGGGGGGACGTCCATGGTGGATTTGGCACACGATACACGTAACACCGGTATGCTACTAAGCGAGTCAAAAATCGTACGATGGCGCGCATGACGTCACCTGCGAAGCATCGATGAATGGCGATTACAGAGTTCAGTATAGTGAGGTTAGGATAATACCGACGTTATAAGATTTTGTTCCAGCATTTCGTTTTCCTTTTTTACATCGACAAGAATGAAGGGTTGTGCGGTAGCTAATTGCAAAAATTATAATAGGGTTACGAAAGGATCTGATATAGGGTACTTTCGATTTCCAAAGAATGAAGAGTTTGTAAAGCGATGGGTAGGTGCATGTCGCCGTGAAGATGAAATAAATTTGAGAAATGGTTAGTACATATTTTCAAGTTGTGTATACAATATTTTACACCTTTCCTTTTGTTAAGAAATATTAGGAAAAAGCTATGATGATATCATTAGATTTTTTATTCGTAGCATGCATCTGCTCCGAGCATTTTGATGCCAGCTGTTTTGAAATTCCATTGCGACAAAAATTGCTAAAATACACCCCCAAAAATAGCCGATATTTGAAACCTGATGCTGTGCCTACTTTACGACTACCAGGATGTCATGATTCCTGCTCACAAAATCAAGGAGACAGATCAGCACGACTGAAAAAGAGAACACAACATAAAAATGTAGAAGATATGCTAAAAGCAAGTACTTCGATCATTTTGAATCTAACACAGCAAAAAAGTACCAATGATATCAGAACTGAGACTACAACGTTGGCTACAGCAGGTATCGAAAAGTAAGTTTACTTCTAGTACTGAATATATTAACCAGTGAATGGCTCCCAAATCACGCATGCAACAATCACAGGACAGTGACGTTTTAGTGCCTAATTCAAAAGTGAAAAAATTATTCTTTTTTTTCTAACAAAAATCGAACAACTTCTATCGGAAAACATATTTCACAAGATTTTTATTACCTAATTAACAAAGTAAGACACTTTTGACAAAATAGAGAATATTCTATTAATCTAATAACTTGTTTATTACAGAGCAAGTGACATACAGATAAAAACGTTGAAGGAGAGAATAGTGGTTCTGGAAAAGCAGAATAAAGCACTCACTGAGCAGGTTGAAAAAATAGAAGAAAAAACAGCCTTAAAATATAAAGATGTCTTAGCCAAAGTTTTCACTCCGGGGCAGATAAAAAAATTATTGAATGCAGGAAAAAAAAGAGTCCGTTGGTCACCAGAGGATATTGCAACCGCAATTTCTTTACGTAGTGTCAGTCCAAAAGCATATCGTTATTTGAGAGTAAACAATTATCCTTTACCAGCTTTGTCCACCTTAAGAAGCTGGGTTTCCAGCTTTGACGTACATCAGGGTATTTTGAAGAGTGTAATAACATTAATGCAAAAGAAGTCTCTTGATTGTACTGAAGCTGATAGAATTTGCGTACTAAGCTTTGACGAAATGTATGTTTCGAACAAAATCGAGATCGATAAGAAAACTGAACAGATCATCGGACCTCACAGATGTTGTCAAACTGTTATGGTGCGTGGTTTACTTTCAAAATGGAAGCAACCAATTTACTATGAATTTGATCAGTCGATGATGAAATATATTATTGAAAAAATAGTAGCTGAACTGTTCCGAGCAAATTTTATCGTAGTAGCGATTACTAGTGACATGGGCACTGGAAATACTGGACTGTGGTCTCAGCTGGGTGTTGGACATCAAAATTGTTTTTTTAATCACCCTTGTGATAACTCTTTAAAGATTTTTGTTTTCGCAGATCCTCCACATCTGCTAAAACTTACTCGAAATCATTTAATTGATCACGGTTTTATTATCGATAACAAAGTAATCAATAAAGATTACTTTGAAGCGCTGCTAAATATTTCAACTTCAGAGTTAACAATTGCGCACAAATTGACACCACACCATCTCTGCTTAAAAGGCTCTATGAGACAAAAAGTGAGACCTGCAGTACAATTATTATCAAACTCTGTAGCAAAAGCAATCAGTTATGCTGGAGAAAATGGACTCATGCCAAAAGACAGTTATTGGAAAGAAGCTGCTGTAGTTGTTCAACTATTCAATGATTGGTTTGACTTATTTAATTGTCGATCTAAGTTTGTTGAAAATTGTCCAACACGAAATGCATATGGCACAGATTTAGATAAGCAGATACGTCTGCTAGATGAAATGTCAGAAGTAGTTAGTTCAATGCGGATAGGTAAACATAAAGGGCTTATTCCGTTTCAAAAAGGTATATTACTCTCTAATAGATCTCTGAAAGAGCTACTTCCTTACCTACGTGAAAAATATAATGTAGAGTATATTTTAACTTCTCGGCTGAATCAAGATGTATTTGAGAACTTCTTTTCTTACATTAGAGGAATGGGCAGCGCAAATGATCATCCTTCGCCACTAGATTTCAAATATAGATTACGGTGGTACATTTTAGGAAAGAATATGTCAGCGATCTTCACAGAATGTCGCAATACCATTGAAAGCAATGAATCTTGCTTAACTAATATGATAGAAAGTTCTTCATTGCCAAGTATATGTCAACATCAGAAGATATTTGCTTGACACAAAAAATGCTTTCTAATTTGGTAGAAGAAGTTGGGTGTTCGAAAGGACCTCAGTGTGAAGAGGAACAAATAATTCAAAACACATTTGTAGAAGCTCTTTACTTGGAGGATCATGTGATTGATGAAGACATGTTAAAACTTGTAGACAATTATGAAGTGAAAGAGAAAATTCACCATGATTCTTTAAAGTATGTTGCTGGTTTTGTTGCATATAAATTCAAGCATAAATATAATTTAGGGAATCCTACAAACACCTTTGAGAGAAATATAGAACCAGATTGGCTTGAGACAATCTCTAGAGGCTCTCTGCTGTATCCTAACGACGAATTGTATGAAGCTACACTGAAACTGGAATCAGTGTTTTACACAATGCATGGAAGCTCTTTATCCAAGGAAAATCAAATTTTTCATAAGCTTGCCCAGAATACTTTAAATCAGCTTAAGAATACCTCAATACCATTCGAAGTGCTCCTATGTCTCAGTAGGACACGTACATATATAAGATTAAGAGACATGAACAGGAAAATTAGTTTCAATAACTGTCAAAGGACACTCGAAAAAAAAATGTCCAAGTTTGTTAATTTTAGGAAATAAGTTTTTATAATGTACTTATTTGTTCAATAAATTTTCACAAATATAATTTCTATAACTATGCTTGAAATATTAATTACAAAAGCATATTGTTGCAGTCGTATATTAATGTACACATATATACATTATATATGGTACAAAACAGTAAGTAAATCTATGCTTACATTTAATATTAACGGGCTAATGCAGACGTCCGTACTATTCAAACAGAAGCATTGCTTCGCACGTGACGTCACGCAGTGAGAGAGAGATAGCGCTAGCATGCGCAATGGCATACCGGTGTTACGTGTATCGTGATTTGGCAGCAAAGATCTTGGCAAGCACTTCCGCCTTAGCCTTTGAGTCTATTACGATCGTTCCATCTTGGCCCGATAGTGGTGGAGGGCAACTATGCGCGTAGAATTACTGAGCTTTGAAGTTTGAAAAGATACTGCCGCGAAAAAATTTCGATACACCCTCTCCCAACCTCTACAAACCGGGTCTCTGGAACGGCAAAAGACGAAATTTGATCGATATTACTTTTTTTAGTTTTTTTACCTTTAGCTTTGCTGCCTCTGAGCCGATTTTGAAAGCTTCTCCGTATAGTAATAAGAGCCTTATGTCAAAATTCCATCATAACGATGATTAGCGGACAGGCAGACAAACAGACTCACACACGGACTGGAATGAGTGACATGATTTTTCGTTAAGTAAATGTCATTTAACATCCAAAAAACATCTCGTTTCCTCGCGATGACAATGCTGCCTCGCCAGTGGCCTGGGAGGCGATGCAATGGATACCCAAGAATAGATTCGCAGTTTTTTTTATCAAACGATATACATTGAAGCAAAATTTTATAAAACATTGAAACCTACTGGCAGCCTTTATTACAAGCACTCTCGACATACCTACATCTCTTTAAATGGCTCGGAAATGCTAAGAATCCAGCGAGACACGCTAACGGTAAAATGATTGTAGGGAAAATGAGGAATGTGGATTTTTCAGACACATTCTCGGGAAATATGCGCAGTTGATCTGGCAACACCGCTTACGAGCATGAGCGTCAATGGGTATCATCATCCTTAATCCGTAATTACCTGAGCAAAATATGGTGGAAGTGGTAAATAAGTTGTAAAAATTCGGCGAGTAGTATACGGCAGGACGAAATTTTGGAAAAATAGTGGCGGTAATAAAATGTTTACAGATGAAAAACCGGGGGTTTTAGCTGAATACACCCGGCTAAGTGACTTGGATATGTTGTGAACAGTTAAACTGTGTCCTTTGCGTGTGTGCGGGTGGGGTAAAAACAATCCAAAAAGATCTACGTCTCAGGGTAAAAGTGCTAAAATACAAACAGAAATGTGAATAATTTACCGGTGTTATTGTGCTCACAGTTGTTTTCATACATCAACTAACAAATGGCGTGCCTATGGTGAGTAGGTATATTTTTATTACTGCTTGTGATCTTTTTTTGGGTTGAAATGCTTGTAGAGGGTGTTATCCTCATGTTTCATGCCTGTTTCTTTGGAAAGTAAACATATGCATCCATATTTAGCCATTTTAAAGCAATACACTACCTGAATGAATTCCCATAGAAGTACAATCATCAAAATAACAACAAAACCTTGGAAGGCCATGGCGATGTTTTGGTTTTGTTATTCCATCAATCCTAACCGAAAAATCGCTAAAAATTAGTATTCTCGTGAATATAGGTCAATAATTCACCTCTTAAGTCTATTTTTGGTTCGTTTTGAACTATAAACCCTTTAGTTATACTTTCTGAATTTAAATAAATGCTAGAAAGCGGTAAACCAATGACAGTTTCAAAAAAAATGTAGAAAAATAAATGAACATTCACTTCGTGGAATCACGTCGCAAAAAGACAACAATGACTTTCTTTCATTTTATCATTTTTTTAATTGAACTTTCCATATGTTTACCATTACTGCAAAGAAAGTGATTCTCAAAAAAATATGCTCTACCATGGTCATTGAAAAAGATGTGACGTACAAACAATTATTTTCCTTATTTTTCATATTCAATTTTCAAAAAACCATCAAACAGGCTTACATTTGTTTACATTTTACAAACATGGATTTGCGCGATTCCAGGGTCGTCGCCAAGGCTGTATCAAGGGGGTTGTAAAGGGGATACAATTCTATGTTATTGACATGTTTTATTAAGGTAAAAGCATTATTTAATCAGTTTATTATCAGATAGTATTGTTTAGATTTAGAAGCATGCATCAAAGGCAAAAGGAGTTTCATAAGGCTCTAATGAACTTTAAATTTGAAGTATTTCTCTCAGGTTCTATGCTATATGGAAATGAATATTTTGTTTCTATTGATGTTGACTATTATGTTATTGCATATTGTTTCTGTAACTGTGGGAGTATGTAACATAATATATACTTACAACTATCGACTGAAAAATATTGAGCCAGGTTATCCACTGGTCTTTGAATGCTTTAATGGTGGTTGCATATAGTCTCATGCATTTTCTGCTATTTATAAGTCTTTTGTTGTAGTGACAGTTTTTGAATTGGTAGGTTTTTAGTTTCGTTTTTTTCTATACACGTACCCCTAAAGTATGAATCAAAGTAAGTACATGCTGCATTTTTATCTATGAGTTTCCTCTTAAATTGAGCTATCAATCTTCCTACTGAAAAACAGTGTTCCACATATAGCTCTGCACTTTGGTATTATAATCATCTAATTTTACTACACTATGATGTTTTAAAAATATTATGGGAAGTGTCTACACTTGTTCCAACCAATCTGATCAGCTATATTATAGCAACTTATGTTATAATTAACCCTGGAATTAACCTATTTTAGCCCACACAGTTGTACGCTGTTTTCTAAATGATAGACCTTGAGCCCACACACAGAAGATCTTTGCTATTGAAAAGACTCAAATATGCTTATAGCATTTTGTGACCGGTTCTTAAATCCAAAAATGGTTTGACTTCACGTTAAGATGAACAGAAAGTTGAAGGGATATTTTGAATCATGTCACACCCTTTACTGGACTGATATTCAAAATCTACAAGGCCGATCTTATATCAATCATTAGCTTATATTCTGAGTAGTAGTGTTTCGTATTTTTTCCTTTAAAAGGAGGTGAGCCATTTTCCTGCAACCAAAATTTTTATTGTCTTAACTTTTTTCTTAACTAAGCAAACAATAAATACAATTTTTTTATACACAGTTTGGTCCCAAGTTTGAATCCCGCTTCACTTTGCCTTGCCTTGTCCACACCTTTGGCGTAGTTCAGTCACATGAAAGTTGTTCACTTTTCGGACTGACGCATTGCCGCTTTTTCGGCGGTACATCGGAAAACCCACGCGGTACCTACTCGTACTCCAAATATTTTGCTGTCTGTTGTGTTGTTCACCCGTTTCAGTTAGTGCGACAAGCGCCATCTACAAAACACGTCACGCAAATGGCAGTGGCGGGCAAGCCCGTCGGAGGGGTCTAAAGCCCGTAGTTACTATCAAATTTTTCGCGCTACTTCTTTGACAAGAAAATATTTGACGGGTTTCGCTGTTAGGTTTGTAACGATTAAATATTTTGTTACCAATCTTGGACAATAACATGCGCACTTCCACATTACCAAACAATGACTTAAATAGTGTTAAACATAAGAAGACGAAATCGGTAGATAGTGTTGTTGAAATTCGGTAGATTCAATGACAAAATCGGTAGGAGGAAAAAATCAGGACCGTCACAAAATGAGCGAAGGATCAAGGGATTTTTCGCCACCCCACAAAAAAAGTATTTTATATTGTGCCGGCATCAGTTTCTTAAAAATAAAATATGTATATATGTATATCAGTGAAAATTGGTATACAAGGGTTTTTTGGTACGACAAAACGAACCATGGGCATAGTTTTACTGTAGCCGCTAGACGGCGCTCTCTACTGTACCTGTCGTGTATTAAAATGACCGAAAAATTTTTCTTAGTGCAATTTTTTGCTTTTTGAATAAAAAAACTCATTTTTCAACAAAAAAAAGCTCTCTTGTGAATTTTCGTTATAGTTAGCCGTTTTTGAGATGTTTCGATTTTTAAGGTTCGATGCATTTTTAATTATTTATGATAAAATAACGTTAAAAAGTCAGTATCTCGATAATTCTTAGAAGTAGGCTGTGCCTGCAAATATTTTTGAAATTGAAAGCAGAACAAGGTTAAACGTCAATTAGTTGACAGTTAGTTTTGTTGTCTGTTGAAACCTGAAAGGTTTTTTTGCATTTGTGAATGCACGAAACTTAGTTTCTTTTACCTGTTTTTTTTTGTAAGTTTTATAAAAGTGCCATTTTTATTCTCCAATCAAGTTAGCGGATATTCATTTTGTGTATGGCTTTGTAAATGGAAACGCAGCAGGAGCAGCCAGAGAATACGCACGAAGATTTCCAAACAGACGACATCCAACTCGCTCAGTATTTGTAAGAGTGCATCGCCAAATAATTGAGAATGGTTTTGGGATCAAAACATAAATGTTCGTCGACGCAGATTTACCCGTATGATTCTGCCTGAGTTTGATAGAGATCCGACCACAAGTGTTAGGAGAGTTTCTGGTGCCTTGGGAATTTCAGCAAGCCATGTTCACCGTGTTCTTAGAAATAACCATAGACGTCCTTACCATTTGCAACCTGTGCAAGGACTACAGTCAGGGGACGGAGAACGAAGAATCACATTTTGGCAGTGTATTCTTGATAGAACTGATAATAATAGGGAGTTTTTAAGTAACGTTTTATGAACCGATGAGTCATGCTTCACTAGACGTGGAGTGGTAAATTTTCATAATCAACATATCTGGTCGCATGAAAATCCGCATGCAGTTCGGGAAAGAAATTTTCAGCATGAATTTAGTGTGAACGTGTGGATTGGTATCTACCGTAATCGACTATTTGGACCCTACCTTTTGCCTGCAAGGTTCTTGGAATTTTTAAAGGCTGAACATGCAAATATATGGGATGATGTTATGTTAGATTTAAGAAGATTGGCCTGGTTCCAGCTTGAT